TGCTGATAATTACACTGAATATAAATGGATTAAACGTACCAGTCTAGAGATATAGTGAGCAGAATAGATAAAGGAAACAGGATCCTTCAATCTACTGTCTATAAGACACATATCAAAAAGCTGGAGACTGCCCATCACCAGAAGAACAGATAAACAAACTCAGGTCCACACACACAATGGAATTACTAAGAAACATTGAAGAATAATGATGAATCTATGAAACGCCTCACAACATGATTAAACCATGAGAACAGTATGCTGAATGAAATTAATCTATCACAAAAGGACAAACATTTTATGAGGGTCATAAAAAGTTTATTTAAAAAGTTTTCCAGATAAAAAGAAAAAAATCTCTGATGGTTAAGGTAGGAGATGGGAGAGGGAATATTTCTCCTGGGCTAGAGGGTAGACATATGCTGACATGGATGACAGGGCAGGCAACATACAACAAGAGGGAAGTTGGCAGAATGAAGAAGGTAGAAGGAGACACAGGATAGAATACAATAGTTCAAGTGAATAGAGGTAAATCCTGTTAACTGTACAAGAAGGAGATTGCAACCAGGTAATGAAGCAAAGTATAATTTGTTGAATCTAAAACTGATGATCTGTTCTGTAAACCTTCACTCAATTCACAATTAAAAGTCTAAAATAGAAAAAGAATATTTTACAATAGGATAAAATTCAGGGCAAAATTAGACAAATATAATGAGATCTGGAAAATGCAACAATGAAAACTTGTGACTTTAAAAAAGAACTTGTCTGTGTGCTTTTAAATGATGGATGGTGAGAATAAAAATCACTTTGGTATTTAGCTTCTTGGATACTTTTACAAGAATTAACAGCTTTATTTCAAAGTGTCAATGTTTACATAGAATTTACATTCTTTGCAATTATTTACATTTTTAAAAATTGTCTGCTGACTTCACTACACAAGTGGGTTGAAAACTTTTCCAAATTCTTTTCCGGGTAGATAAGGAAGCCTCCTGTTCCCTGCCTCAATGTGTAGCCTTGAAGCAAAGCTGAGTACCAACTGCATACATGTACAGGACATGCCCTGAGACAAAAGTGGACATCTGCCAGGCAGGTGCAGGAAAGTAAACATAGTCCCTCTATGTCTGGAGTGATCAGGACTCCATGCAGCAAGCTCCTGTCCTGGCACCTCCAGAAGGAGAGGGTCAGTGGGAACAAGAAAAGTCAGGGCAGGGCGGCGTGATCAGTGACCACCTGTGGAAGCAGAAGCAGCAATTCGGGAAGGGAAGAGAAGGCAATGAGGAGATGGTCAGAGAAGAGTTGTATGAGACTCAGGTGCCACCACGCCTAGGACCTGGGATCCGCAGTCTGGAAGCCTCTGCAGACTCTGACTTCACCTGAGAGTCGGCAGCAGGGGTAGAGGCCGATCTGGCAGACTCCCGTCCTGCTTGGACCTGAGCTTGGAATGAACACTGTGCTAAAGCATCCGAGTCTTCCTCTGCGCTGTCTCAGCCACTAGGGGAAGAGTAAGGGTCAGCTGGATCCAGTCTTCCTTCCATCCTGAGCCACGCCCTCACTGGACAGCATTAGTGAGTGCCTGATAACCCCACACTCTCTCCTTGGAGCAAAGCTTGCCAGAAATGCAGGGAAGTATGCAAATGCTTTGTGAGACTAAAGAAAATAAGTTTCCTGTCAGGAATCTGAAACTTAAGGAGCTCTGGTAGTGTAGTGGTTACAAATCGTACTGCTAACCTCCAGCTGTTCCCCAGGAGAAAGATGCGGCTTTCTGCTCCTGTAAAGATCTGCATCCTTGGAAACCCTGTGCAGGGTCAGTATGAGTCAGAACCGACTCCGCAGTACTTAACAACAACAACAACAATCTGAAACTTGGAGACCAATGGCCTCGGACCTCTAGACAAAAGCTGGTGGGTGATGGCAGGAGCAAGTGTTGCCCCACTCAAAGGCACCGTAGGGGCCCTGGGCAGCCTCGGTACACAGGACCGCCATTTTACCTGAGCATGAACTTGGAAGCCAGTAGACGGGAAATGTCATTCCAGTTGTTTAGGGTGCAGCAGCCAAAGCGGTCTCAGCTTCCACCAATAACACACCGAGTTCTTCCATATTTTGCACAAATAAGATGCAGTTTTCCAGAAGTAAACAATATGTCGCTAAACACAGAGCCACTCCCACACAGCGCCTGCATCCTCTTCCCTAAACCCGGGACCCTCAGGATAGCTGTGTGAGAACAGGTGACTTAGCTCACCATCCCATTGCCCAGGCAAGCCCAAAGCCCTCCTTTTGTAGAGTCATGCCTGTCCAAGACTCCCCCAGAGGGATCCTCCACTTCCAGGCAGTGAGATGCGCCAAGGTTCCAGGCCTGGAAGAGGAACCAAACCCAGCAGCCAGAGCATCATCCCAGGGCAGGTGTGCTCTGAGCTCAGCTCTGTGGGTCCATCAGGATGGGTTCTGGGACAGGTCCTGCCCCGCTCCTAGACAGGTGAGCTGCTGCTCCTCCCTGTGCTGAAGTGCATGGGGAGGGCTCAGGTGCACCTCTGTGGGCCCCTCACCTGGGTGCTATCTCCCAGCACTCCCCATTCCTACTGACTGCTGCGCCAGTCATCCCAGATCCCCAAGGCTGATGCTCAGAGGGTATTAGCTGCCCCAGATCTCTGGTCCGGTTTACCTGGGTGTGCTGCCACATCAACACCTGTTCTTGGTTCAAAGCCTCCTGCCTCCTCCTGGGCTCCCATGTCTCATGTCTCTTCATATCCCAGTGGTCAAAGCCTTGTGCGACAGCTGGCCCAAGCCATTTATTGAGTGCCTGCTATGTGCTGTAAACTGTTTAAGAGCAAAGATGTCAGGCTGAGGACTAAGGTGTGGGGCTAATGCATCAGAGTGCAAAGTCGTTTGAACTGCAAGGTCGGTGGTTCAAGCTCACCATCTGCTTCTTGGAAACCCTATACAGGGTCACGAGGGGTCAGAATCGACTCGATGGCACTAAACAACAGCAACAAATACGCACGTGGAATCCTGGTGTGGCAACTGTGGTTAATGTGCCGGACTGCAAAATCATGTGAACCAAAAGGTCGGCGGTTCAAACTCACCAGTTGCTCCTTGAAAACTCTATAACAGGGTCAGTATGGGTTGGAACCGACTCAACTGCACTTAACAAAACAACAATCTGCATGTGAAAATTAGTGAATAAGGAAGACCATAGAAGAATTGATGTATCTGAGTTACGTATGATGTTGGAGGAGAATATTAAAAGTACCATGGGCTGCCAAAAGAATAAACCAATCTGTGTTAGAAGTACAGCCAGAGTGCTCCTTGGAAGCCAGGATGGCCAGACTTCGTCTCTCATCAGGAGGGACCAGTCCCTGGAGAAGGATATCATGTTTGGTAAAGTGGGTTGGAGGGTTGGAGAAAAAACGAGGAAGACCCCCAGTGAGATGGGTTGGCACAGTGACAGCAGCAATGATTGTGAAGTTGGCACAGGACAGGGCAGTATTTTGTTCTGTGAGTCAGCACCTAACAACAACTATGTGCTTGGTCTGGCTAGGCTCCTGAGATAGGACTGCTGTGCTGGGGAGCAGACAGCAGGTCCTGGGGCACCTGCTCCCCACCCCCCACCCTGAGAGCTTTAACCGGAATCTCTGCTCTCTGAAGGTGGCTTGTGACAATAAGGTCACCCAACGCCCTGCAGGAGTGCTGTAGCTCTGTAGGATAGACACTGGACTGCTAATCACAAGGTCAGTGGTTCAAGCCCACCAGTCGCTCTAAGGGAGAAAGATGAGGCTTTCAGCTCTTACAAAGATTTATAACCTTGGAAACCGTATACAGAGTTTGACAGCACTTAACAAGACCACATTGTGGGAAGTATCTTCTGGTGGACCATCCTGACCCTTTGCTCTGCTGGGGTGGGGGGGAGAGGGGGCGAAATCCTGGCACTTTTCTAGGGGGTGGGGGCTGTGCTGACCCTTTGCCAATCGGTTTGGGGCAAGGCTAGCCCTGGATGCCCAAGACTCCCCCAGGGAGCCTTAATTGAGGAGTCTTGTTTTCCTGCCTCTGACACTCAAAGGCACGGTCGGGGAGGGGGCTGTGCACCTGTAACTGTCCACCCCCACCCCAACCCAACTCAAGCGAGGGCAGTTGCCATCAGCTCCGAGTGTCCTCACCGGTGTCTCCCCAGCCTCCACCTGACCCAGCCGGGTCACTGCAGCAGTAACCCCTAGCGGAGACTGCGGCAGCCCCGCCTCTCGGCCCACAGCGAGGGCCCTGATGGAGGGTGGGCCTTGCGCGGGTCGCTCGCCCTGGAATGGGCCACCGCCCCTCGATTCCACCGTGTGTGGAAGTGGGGCCCAGACCCTGCGGCATCCTGCCGCACACAACAGCCCCGCCCCCACACGGTCACCTGCCGCGCACAGGCCACAACCACCAGTGCACACCCCCTCCCCCAAGCGGTGCTGATGTCCCCAAGGGACTCTGGCTCTAGCGCATGAAGTGCGGAGGACGTCCGCGGAGCACCCGCTCTTCTCCAAACTCACCCCTGAGGAATCACCGCCCTGCGGGCGCCGGCCCTTCCTCACCCCAAGTTCGGCCCCTAGGTGCCTGCTGTCCCCTCCACTCCCGCCACCCCCTAGGACCTAGGCGGCACTCCCCCCCTTGGGCGACACTGCGACAGGCAGCGGGGGCGCCTGCAGGGGGAGCACGGGGGAGACGCAGGGGGGCGGGCCCGGTAGATGCTGGGGGGTGGGTCGGTGACGGGCAGACCGCGGTGGCGGGGGGGCGGGGGCCGGCGGTGCGCGGCGGCAGCGGCGGCGCGTTGCCATGGCGGCTGGGCGCGCGTAGCCGCCGGGAGCCTGAGCCCCAGCCCAGGGAGCCAGCGGCGCAGAGGCGGCGGCGGAGCCTGCAGGAGGGGCGGCGGAAGGGAGCGACCCCGACCCTGCAGAACACGAGCGGAGGGCACCCGAAACGTCGAGCCCCGAGCCCCGCGCCGGCCGCGTCCCTGGGCGCCCGGCCCCGCGCACACGATGCAGGCCTTAGAGCCGGCCGCAGCGGGCTTCTACGAGGAGGAAGAGGGCGGCCGAGACCTGGATTTCTACGACTTCGAGCCGCTGCCCACTGTGCAGGAGGACGAGGTGAGCCCCCGGCCCGCGATGGGGCCCCCACCTTCCCCGGGGGAGATCCCCTGGGCGCATCCGGAAGAACAGGGCTACCTCAGGACCAGGGTCCCTGCTGTGGGATGTAGGGGTCCCATGTTTGTTCTACGCCTTCCTCTGAGCCTGTATCGTTTTCCCAGGAGAGGAGAGGACCCCTGGGAAGCTACAGGGGGTGAAGTGGGTGGGCAGCATGTGCAAAAGTTGGGCCCCTGGGTGATGGGTTCCTAATGGTGAATGTGGGTGTCAGGACGTGCAGTCAGTGCTTACTGCTCCGTGCGCAGCGGCTTCGGGGGCCAGCAGGAGGCGCAGGGCAGGAGAGCCAAATGAGGGTGGGGGGCACCATCAAGAGCAGGTGCTTTGGGAACTGACTGCCCTGTGTGGGGAGGCTACTTCCTGGTGAGGGCTGGAGGCAGCCTGCTAGGCTGTAACAGCCAGAGGACTCTGACCACCTCTGCCACACCAGGTCCACTCCGGGGGCCAAAGATGGCAGAGCCTGTCTCCACCAGGCCTGAGTCTGTCCTATCAGGACGCTCCACAAACAGTGGGCTGGGGCCAAATTAATCAATTCTGAGTAGGGGGTGAGGCACCTGGAAGAGATTGGTCAGGAGAGGGGCACCCCGAGGACTTAGCAGTCTCCCAGGCTGTGAGGTCTGCCTGCCCAGCCTCCACAGCAAATGCCCCTTCCCTGGTGCCCCAGCCCACTGTGGGATTTGCTGGAATTCTGCAGCCACCAGTGAACTGTCTCTTCGAAATCTCCTTAAATAGCCCTGGGCTGGTGAAGACCCTCCAATTGTCAGTCAGATTGGGCAGAAGCCTGGGGGAGAAGGACCAGCTGATTCCTGGCACAGTAAACCCCAGTGCCCCCCCCCCACCCCCCCAATCCAAGTCCCACTCTCCTCTGAGAGACAACTGAGTGGTTTCAGGAGTTCAAGCTTCATTCTTGTGGGAGCAAAGCTGGAGCCTGCCTGGTGAGCCTGCTGTCGGCCACCCAGACGGATACTGGGGGTGTGGGGGGAGTCAGTGCTGCCCCCGCCCCCACGATGGCCTGGATTTGTCATGAGGGAAGGCTGCAGGGAGGAGAGACAAGAGAACAAACAGATCTTCAGTTGCCTCCAAAGCTTTGATGGAAAGGGGAGGGTGCACCCAACTCACAGCCTTCAAAGCATCTCCCAGGGGTCCATTTCAGCTTCTCTGTTCCCCGATTCCCTTCAACTGACTGCCCAAGGTGTAAACAAGACACTGGTGGATGGCAGAGCTGGTCTGTGCTGATGGCCCTGGGCTTGTGACCACATACATGGCCAGGCCAGTTCAAGACTTGAATCCAAGTCCATTTGACCCAGAACCTGTGGCCCACCTTTCCACCATTAACAAATGCCTTCTATTGGTGGGAATGTTCCCTGCAGTCCCCACGGTTCGGGGAGCAACCCAGTTGTACACGGTAGCTAGAGGAGGGGCTGGGGACCCTTCATCACCTGGGTCTGTAACGATGCCTAGGAAACTGTGACTTTTTAGTAGTGTCTGTGCACAAGTTCAGGGGTGCCCCATCCTGCACCCCTTCTGACAGAAGACACAGCCGTGTGCCTGTGCCCAATATGCAGGAGTCTGTATACCTGAAAACAGACTCTGCACCTGAGAACACCTGTAGCTCAAGACTTTGATGGCTGACAAATTCTTCTTCAGATTTCTGCCAGGCCCACTTGCCTCCAGGTCTGATCCATCTTGAGGCATCAGTTTACACCAGAAAAGCCGCCTTCAATAAGTCAAGACGTGGGGAGGCTGCAGCACCCCCCTCCACCCCAGGAGAACCAAGATATCCGAGATCAAAGGGCAACTTCTAGAATGGAAGGTGGGTGCCAAACCAGGGTCTGGAAAAACTGCACAAGATAGAGCGATGCAAGGTGACAACTCAGTCTAAAGCAAGGCCAAGAAATAGACCCTCGGACCCCTCAAAATCCTAGAGTGTCCTCGCTCAGCCTGCCCCCAGAGAAAACCGAATCACCAGAGAACACACAAGAAGCGGGGAGTGAACTGTGGGACCACTGCCAGGCTGGTGCCAATGGAGCAGCCACTGGCCTGCCCACTCATGCTGGGAGTATGAACGGGAACAGTCTCTTTGGAAAACAGTTTGGCATCAGGCAGCAAAGTCGAAGGTGTCCACCCTCCATGTCCCAGCAATTTCCCTCTGGGCTCACACAGCGTGGGCGAACACCACCACCTAAGGAAGCTCTGACAGCCTGCTGGATACCCCTAGGTTGTACCCCTACCCAGGGGCCACCAGGTTGGGACAGGCAGAACCCAAGGTGTAGCATGGACAGAGAGATGGTTCTGCGGACCTCCTGGAAGAGTGGCCAGGCCCTGGAACCACACAGAACCTGGACGCCCATGATAGGTGCGCGTCCAGGGCTGGTCAGTGCCATCAGGCAAGGTGGTGGAGGACAGGAGAGGACAGCTGGCTGTGCTGTTGGGGGCAGCCACTGGCCTGCATGGGGCACCAAGAAGGGCAGGTTTGGAGATGAGATGGCACCGGTCAGGACGTTTTTGGTCCCCAGTTCTCCTGGGTCAGGAGTGCTTTTATGGATCCCCACGCTGAGTGGGCATCCGCAGCCCCTGCTGTGGGCCAGGCACTAGACCTGAGGGGCTACAGTGAGTGGGACCCTGTCCCTGCCCTAGAGGAGAACACAGCCCCCTGGGAACACACTATGGAGAAGCAGCCATTCTCACTGTACCAGTCTTTGTATATACAAGACCTCACAGAAGGGAGATAGGGTGGGGGAGCACTTGGAAAGTCTAGCAGAGCTTACAGCATGGGTTGAAGAGCAGCCAGCACATTGGGGGCCAGCAAGCAGACCCCGACAGAGGCCCGGGACGAGCCCCAGGCTCCGGGGGAATCTGATAGCATGCAGGTGACTTCAGTTGATGCTCTCAGCAGAGGCTGGAAGCTGTTGGCTCGACTCAGCATTTTCCAAGATGGCACACCATTAACTGGTGATAAGCCAGTGGCTGCCTATTCACTGGAAGCGGGGACCCTCCTCACTGTCTTCTGAGTAAGGGGGCTTCTTGGATGTGAGTCCCTAAGTGGAGTTGCCTGGACAGAACCACATGATGGTCCTCGGGCGGGACACGGCCCTGCCCTATGCAACCTGGGAACAAATAGCTCAGGGGTCACGCTTGCTGGCGTCACACGCTACCCCCGCCCCGGGCTAGGTGGGAGGTGGGAATGAGGTGTCAAGTTTGAGCAAGACCAGCACTCTGCCCACCCTGCCGGGAACATGAGTGAGGTGGTCCCTAGACCTATACCTGCTGCGGACTCCAGGCTAGAGCAGGTCCTCTCTGCCTGCTGTGAAGGTGAGTCTGTGACCCAGGGAGGAACCCAGACTCAGGTGTTTATCAGGAGTGGTTGAAGGGTAGGGAGAGCAAGGCCAGCAGCCCTGAAGTCCTTCAAGTGTTCTCAGCACGTGGGCACCTTGGAGGTAGAGCCAGCTGGGCCTCGGCTACAGGAGGTGCTGGTCTCCCCATTCCCAGCGCGTCCTTCCCTCAGATGTCTGCCCCAGCCCACTGAGTCCTGGACAGCCTCTTCAAAGTCAAACCACCGCGTGGTTCCATCCAGTACAGAGCGCCCCCCCTGCCGACTGTGCCCACTGGGCGGTGAGACAGCCCCTTTGGAGGCAAGCAGGAAATCTGCACAGAATCCAGGGACATGTCTCCTGGGATCTTAGTGATGGTGTGGCTCTGACTGAGGAGGCTGAGGTGGCCAGTGTGTGCCCTTTGTAGGCAGGACATGGAGATCTCAACAGAGGGTCCCCACCTGTGCTGAGCTCAGAGTTCAGGGACTGTGGGCCAGTGCCTGGAAGGTGGGGTCCCAGGTTGTCAAGAGAGCCACAACATTCCTCAGCTCCTTTCTAGAATGAGTGTGAGCTGAACCCACCTTCCCTGTGTCAGACCCCAGGATTCTAGGGGGATCAACATCACCATGACGCTCGTCCCTGCCTCAGTACTGAGCCCCCCAGGCCCCAGTAGGCACGGTGGTCCTGCAGGTCCTAAGTGGATTGGAGTGTTTCCCCACCTACAGGAGATGGTGCTGTGGCTGTGAGCTGCCCCAGCGCCCATTCCTGGCCTGGCTCCTTCCCTTGGCTGCACACTCTAGTCAAACAGCTTCATGAGCAGGCGGGCTCCAGAGACGGAGGCCAAGGCCGTGGGTGTCGGCCAGGCTCCTGCAGGGACTGGCTCAGAACCTAACCTCATGAGAGATTCTTTTCTACTAAATAACACTCACCTACGGGCTCTCTGGGTTGTTTATTATTTCGCATGTGTGTGTACACGTGTGTGTGTGTGTGTTTTGTTTATGGTTGTCATGTATCACTGCCTTCTGGAGTTTGCATGTGCATTTGTGTCATGTGTGTACACGTGTATGTGTGTATACATGGAGCCAAAATGTCCTCCAGCTAGACCCTGGAGCATCCTCAAGAGATGGAGTAGCTGAAGGAACAGGGTTTGAGTGAAATCAGGAAGACATTAGGAGCCTTGGAACCCAGTAGGGAGTCAGTCTCACTGTGTAGCTTCCTTTTAGTTCTGGTTCTGATTTTAAGAAGCCCACTCACCTCATATCTGGGTCCTATGTTGTTGTTAAGTACCGTTGAGTCGGTTCCTACCCATAGTGACCCTGTATAGGGTTTCTGAGGAGCAGCTGGTGAGCTTGAACCACCCACCCTGCAGTTCAAACTGCTCTGCAGTCTGACGCATTAACCTCCATCCATCCTCGACCTCCTCCCCCACCTCCAGCCCCATTTAGAAAGAGCTGGAAGGGCCTGGGGAAGAGGTATGGCCCAGCCTGAGCCCTGGGCTCAGAAGAGGAAAGTAGGGCCTGAGGATGCCAGGGTGACATGGGTACCCCAGGCAGGGTACCAGGCAGACCTTCAGGTCCCCAGACCTTGCCCATGGTTCCGCTCCCCTGGACCACAGAGGAATGCCCCCCAGGTTCTGAATGTGTGTTTTCTTCTGTGGTTTCATCTCCCCATTGTCTGCTCCAGTGGGGATCCCCCCTGCAGCCCATAGCAAGGGGTTCAGGGACGGGGAAGTAAGATCTGCCAACTGGGGTGTACCTGAAGGACAGCCCCTGCTGGACACAGGGGGCTGGAAGGCAGAGCTGGTCCCTCCACTCTGGTTCCTATTCCCCCATTCACCCCCATACACTACTCCTTCCCTTTCATTCCTCCATTCTCATCCCCACACCATCATACCCCCACTATGGTCCCCTCGCTCATCCCCAAACACGCTTTCAAAGTCAGCCTGCACCCCCAGGGGCTGGGCTCTGGATCCCTCCCTGGCGCCATCCACATGCTCCCTCCAGGGTCCACTCCGAGCATACACCCCTCACCACACACAAGGGCAGCGGGCCACAGACCAGATGAGGATCTCGTGGTTCAAAATGTCTGATATGTGAAACTGCGTGTTTGAGTGTGAGTGTGTGCATATGTGCTCATGTGAGCGTACATGTGAATGTGTATGCACATGGGAGAGTGGTTGTGTGTATGTGTTTGAGCGTTCAGGCTTGTGGGATGGTGTGTGCCCATGTGTGAGTGTGTATCAGGGTGTACATGCGCTGACACCAAGTTACTTGTTCAAATAAAAAGTACCTAAAGCTTGTTCCCGGGGGGAACAGCCCACCGTCCTGAGCAGAGGCCGCAGCCCTCAGGGCCAGCAGGGCCAGCTATGGTGGCCACCTCCCAACTGGTCCAGCCCGGCCTGTCTTGGCAGGAGAACGTGTCCCTGGCCGACATCCTCTCCCTGCGGGACAGCGGCCTCCGTGAGCAGGAGGCCTGGGCTGTGTGCCTGGAGTGCTGTCTGTCCATGCGGAGCGTCGTCCACTCAGCCATCTTCCAGACGCTCTGCATCACACCTGACACGCTGGCCTTCAACACGAGCGGGAATGTGTGCTTCATGGAGCAGCTGAGCGGTGAGCAGGGGACACGGGTGGGGGGCTGGGGCACCGGTGGAGGGCAGCACAAGGAGGGGACCAGGAGGCGTGGGCAGTGAGGCTGAGGGCAGGGCTCAGGTGTGGGTGTGGGGCAGGGCTTGGAGCAGAGCTACTTCTGCTGTAAGCTGCTAGTTCAGACTCAGAGTGACCCATGTGTGTAGGGTTTCCGAGGCCAAAGTCCTTACGGAATCAGAAAGCCTCATCTTTCTCCCAAGGAGCAGCTGGTGGGCTCAAGCCCAGTGAATATCCCACAGTGCATATCCCACTCCTAGGGCAGTGATTGAGGGCTGGGGGTAGTGGATTAGAGGTGGGGGTTGAGGAGTTTGGGTAGGCCCAAGGGCAGGGCTGGAGTGCATGTAGGAGGGGGCAGAGAGTGTGCTGGGGATGGGGACAGGGCCAAGGGGTCTTGAGGTCCAAGGGGTGGCGGCCTTGCTGGAGGGGTCCAGAAACCCAGGAGTCATTCCTTCCCAGTATTTGGTGTTCCCACAGACCCTCCCAGGGGCTTTTCTACCCACGTGCTCTGTGGATCATAATCAAAGTGTCTCTTTTCCTTCCCCAAGATGATCCTGAGGGTGCCTTTGTTCCCCCAGAGTTTGACGTGACTGGGAACACCTTTGAAGTAAGTGCTAGCCCATCCCTCCCACACCTGTCCTGCACCTGTGTACCAAGCCTTGCGCTGTCCCCTGCCACACTGGGGAGGGGCACACCCACCCTTCCCAGTCCCTGGCTGAGCTGTGTTGTACAACAGTTTGGGGTGCAGAGCAGGGACTCTGGATGCGGGCTTGTCATGCTAATTTCACGGTATGTTTTCTGGAGTGCGAATTTACTATATTTAACGTATTGAAAGTGCAGTGGTGAGTGTAGAGACAGCATCCTCCGCCACTCCTGCCAGGCTTGGCTGGCATGCCTGCCAGTGCGTGGTGGGGAAGGAGTCCCCATTGTTCTGTTCACTTGTGGCGTTTTCTTTCCTTTTTTTTTTTACTTTATTATACAAACCAGTCTCTAAAAACATGTCTGAATATCATAATTCACCATTATTTGTTGTTGTTAAGTGCCATCAAATCAATCTCGACTCATAGTGACTCTGTATAGGGTTTCCGAGGAGTGGTTGGTGAATCTGAACTGCTGACCTCGTGGTTCAAATGGAACTTGCAGTCCAGTGCTTACCCTACAGTGCCACAGCAGACATTACACAAGCTGTGTTATGAGAGAAACAAACATTTTTAAGATGGACCAAGAAGTGAGACTGTGCTGTATTAAACATGCCATAGCACAGAACCTGGTCTTCATGTCACTAACAAAAATAAGGTGTAAGCTCTTTTGTTCTGAGAAACAGTACATTGCTTCCCTTCCAGTA